TATAAATAGAAGGCTCCCTCCTAGATCCGAATAACACAACACAGCTAAACAGAAATTCACCCATCAGAGTTATAGCTATAAGGATCGGATTCTCAGGAGAAGAACTTCTATTCCTTGCACTGCCAATCTGTTCCAGCATCATCCAGCCCTTGCGCCAACACCATGTCAGACTCAGGTTAGTGTTAAACATGTTATGGCTTTAAGAAATTAACAGGGTATTGATATAAGAAAAAAAAATTCGAATTTTTTTCATAATTTTATAGCCAAAAAAAGGCTAGCCGTTGGATTGGAGGGGGAGAAGCAAATCGGAGCGCCCAGGTGAAGACACGTGTCTTCTAGCCGTTGGAAATGGGCAGGGATGGCGTCAGTGCACGCGAGTTCAAATTTTCTTTACCACGCGCCAACGGTAAAAAAAATTTGAACCATGCGCTGACGTCATCCTCCCCTTAAGCTGCAGGTCGGGCGAGACTTGCCTTCAGGCCAGCCCGTCTTCGTGGGTCTCACAGCTAGTCCGGGCAAAAGTGGCTAGCTGGAAATGGGTTTTTCGTGTGGCCTCCCCCCAGCCTCGGGCTTGCGCTCCTCGGTGGAGCTGCTCTAAGAGCATGTCCACCCCAAAAGGCTAAGGCTAAGGCTAAGGCAAAGGTAAGGCAAGGGCTGCTACTATTCACGTGAATAGTGGCAACCTTGCCCTTTTTAGTTCCATCCCAAAAGGCTAGGGTAAGGGCAAATACTATTCATTGTACTTTATTTCCTATGTTTTTTTTATACTTTAAACCATTACTTTTGATAAGCTTTTCAGAAAATATTTTTGGTTGCCACGTGACACTATTTATTATAAAATTCTCACATAAAATTTCAGATAAAATTTTCAAATTAAATTTTGGGATAAGATTTTCGGTTGCCACATGTCCATGTTTATTATAAAATTCACATAACACACATACAATGGAAATACCGAGTCACTCATCATGCAATTGAAATACTCCCGGTCTTCATAGTCTGACACAATGGAGTATAGGGACAACTCCATCATTGGCGGAGGCGGTTTAACCGGATCACAACGTAGGGGAGTATTTTTCTTTTGGGGTGGACATGCTCTTAGCCATTTTTATTTTATTTTAATGAGTTAACTAGTGCTTTTCTCTCTGAACTTGTACCCACATGCAATATATTTCATGAAACATAGTCTTTCTCTCTCTTTTCGAGTACAAGTTTTTCTAGTTTGTTTTTGTGAAATGGAAGAAAATAAAGAAAAATCAGTGATTGTGCTGATCTTTTTCACTTTTGAAATTTGAAGAAGAATAATGAAATGCGAATGTATGGGATGAAAAGTTGGTGTAATGACATAAGTAATTTTAATATAAAACTATTACTCATCCATGGGTCCATAGCTCAGTGGTAAAGCATTTGAGCTGCATGTTTGATTGCAAATCTGAGGTCACCGTTTCGAAGGTTGGGCCCTTCTTTATTCAAATATCTAATAATTTTTTTAATTTTATTTTAATGGGTTAACTTGTGATTTTCCCCTTGAACTTGTAAGTACATGCAATATATTTCATGAAACATAGTCTTTGTCTCTATTTTTAGGTACAAATTTTTCTCGTTTGTTTTTGTGAAATGAAGGAAAGTAAAGAAAAACTAGTGATTGTGCTGATCTTTTTCACTTTTGTAATTTGCAGAATCATAATAAAATGCATATGTATGAGATGAAAAGTTGGTGTAATGAGATAAGTAATTTTAATATAAAACTATTACTCATCCACGGGTCCAAAGCTTAGTGGTAGAGGATTTGAGTTACATGTTTGATTGCAAACCTTGAGGTCAACGATTCGAACCCGTTTGGGCCCTTCTTTATTCAGTTATCCAATAATTTTTTTATTTTATTTTAATGGGTTAACTGGTGATTTTCCCCCTGATCTTGTACCTATATGCAATATATTAACATAGCCTTTGTCTCTCTTTGCATGTACAAGTTTTTCTAGTTTGTTTTTGTGAAATGGAAGAAAATAAAGAAAAACCAGTGATTGTGCTGATCTTTTCCAGTTTCGAAATTTGAAAAAGAATAAAAAAAATGCATATGTATGAGATGAAAAGTTGGTGTAATGAGATAAGTAATTTTAATATAAAACTATTACTCATCCATGGGTCCATACCTCAGTGGTAGAGCATTCGAGTTGCATGTTTGATTGCAAATCTTAAGGTGACCGATGCGAACCCGGTTGGGCCCCTCTTTATTCAGATATCCAATAATTGATTTTATTTTATCTTAATGGGTTAACTGGTGATTTTCTCCCAAAACTCGTACCTACATGCAATATGTTTCATGAAACATAGTCTTTGTCTCTCTTTTAAAGTATAGGTTTTTATAGTTTGTTTTTTGTATAATGGAAGAAAAAAAAAAGAAACACCAATGATTGTGCTGAACTTTTTCACTTTTTAAATTTGAAAAAGAATAATAAAATGCGTATGTATGAGTTGAAAAGTTGGTGTAATGAGATGAATAATTTTAATATAAAACTATTACTCATCCACAGGTCCATAGCTCAGTGGTAGAGCATTTGAGTTGCATGTTTGATTGCAAATCTTAAGGTCATCGGTTCAAACCCGGTTGGACCCCTCTTTATTCAAATATCCAACAATTTTTTTAGTGTTATTCTAATAGGTTAACTGGTGATTTGCTCCCTAAATTTATACCTACATGCAATATGTTTCATGAAACATAGTCTTTGTCTCTCTTTTTAAGTGCAAGTATTTCTGGTTTGTTTTTTTGAAATGGAAGAAAATAAAGAAAAACTAGTGATTGTGCTGATCTTTTTCACTTTTGAAATTTGAAAAATAATAACAAAATATATATATGTATGAGATGAAAAGTTGGTGTAATGAGATAAGTAATTTTAATATAAAACTATTACTCATCCACGGGTCCATAGCTCAGTGGTAGAGCATTTGAGTTGCATGTTTGATTGTAAATCCTAAGGTCATCAGTTTGAACCCGGTTGGGCCCTTCTTTATTCAATTATCCAATAATTTTTTTAGTGTTATTTTAATGAGTTAACTGGTGATTTGCTCCCTAACCTTGCACCTACATGCAATATGTTTCATGAAACATAGTCTTTGTCTCTCTTTTTAAGTACAAGTATTTCTGGTTTGTTTTTGTGAAATTGATGAAAATAAAGAAAAACTAGTGATTGTGCTGATCTTTTTCACTTTTGTAATTTGAGAAATAATAACAAAATGCATACGTACGAGATGAAAAGTTGGTGTAATGTGATAAGTAATTTTAATATAAAACTATTACTCATCCACGGGTCCATAGCTCAGTGGTAGAGCATTTGAGTTGCATGTTTGATTGCAAATCCTAAGGTCATCAGTTTGAACCCGGTTGGGCCTTTCTTTATTCAGTTATCCAACAATTTTTTTAGTGTTATTTTAACGAGTTAACTGGTGATTTACTCCCTAAACTTGTACCTACATGCAATATGTTTCATGAAACATACTCCTTGTCTCTCTTTTTAAGTACAAGTATTTCTGGTTTGTTTTTGTGAAAAGGAAGAAAATAAAGAAAAACTAGTGATTGTGCTAATCTTTTTAACTTTTGTAATTTGAGAAATAATAACAAAATGCGTATGTACGAGACGATAAGTTGGTGTAATGTGATAAATAATTTTAATATAAAACTATTACTCATCCACGGGTCCATAGCTCAGTGGTAGAGCATTTGAGTTGCATGTTTGATTGCAAATATTAAGGTCATCGGTTCGAACCAGGTTGGACCCTTTTTTATTCAGTTATCCAACAATTTTTTCAGTGTTATTCTAATGGGTTAACTGGTGATTTGCTCTCTAAACTTATACCTACATGCAATATGTTTCATGAAACATAGTCTTTGTCTCCCTTTTTAATTACAAGTTTTTCTAGTTTGTTTTTGTGAAATGGATGAAAATAAAGAAAAACCAGTGATTGTGCTGATCTTTTTCACTTTTGAAATTTGAAGAATAATAATAAAATGCATATTTACGAGATGATAAGTTGGTTTAATGTGATACATAATTTTAATATAAAACTATTACTCATCCACGGGTCCATAGCTCAGTGGTAGAGCATTTGAGTTGCATGTTTGATTGCAAATCTTAAGGCCACCGGTTCGAAGCCGGTTGGGCCCTTCTTTATTCAATTATCCAATAATTTTTTTACCGGTTGGGCCCTTCTTTGTTCAATTATCCAATAACTTTTTTATTGTTATTTTAATGAGTTAACTGGTGATTTGCTCCCTAAACTTGTACCTACATGCAATATGTTTCATGAAACATAGTCTTTGTCTCTCTTTTTAAGTACAAGTATTTCTGGTTTGTTTTTTTGAAATGGAAGAAAATAAAGAAAAACTAGTGATTGTGCTGATCTTTTTCAATTTTGTAATTTGAAGAATAATAATAAAATGCATATTTACGAGATGATAAGTTGGTTTAATGTGATACATAATTTTAATATAAAACTATTACTCATCCACGGGTCCATAGCTCAGTGGTAGAGCATTTGAGTTGCATGTTTGATTGCAAATCTTAAGGCCACCGGTTCGAAGCCGGTTGGGCCCTTCTTTATTCAATTATCCAATAATTTTTTATTGTTCTTTTAATGGGTTAACTGGTGATTTGCTCCCTAAACTTGTACCTACATGCAATATGTTTCAAGAAACATAGTCTTTCTCTCCCTTTTTAATTACAAGTTTTTCTAGTTTGTTTTTGTGAAATGGATGAAAATAAAGAAAAACCAGTGATTGTGCTGATCTTTTTCACTTTTGAAATTTGAAGAATAATAACAAAATGTATATGTATGAGATGAAAAGTTGGTGTAATGAGATGAGTATAAAACTATTACTCATCCACGGGTCTATAGCTCTGTGGTAGAGCATTTGGGTTGCATGTTTGATTGCAAATTTTAAGGTCACTTGTTCGAATCCGGTTGGGTCCTTCTTTTTTCAGTTATCCAATAATTTTTTATTGTTATTTTAATGGGTTAACTGGTGATTTGCTCCCTAAACTTGTACCTACATGCAATATGTTTCATGAAACATAGTCTTTGTCTCTCTTTTTAAGTACAAGTATTTCTAGTTTGTTTTTGTGAAATGGAAGAAAATAAAGAAAAACTAGTAATTGTGCTGATCTTTTCCACTTTTGTAATTTGAAGAATAAAAAAAAAATGCATATGTACGAGTTGATAAGTTGGTATAATGTGATAAATAATTTTAATATAAAACTATTACTTATCCACGGGTCCATAGCTCAGTGGTAGAGCATTTGAGTTGCATGTTTGATTGCAAATCTTAAGGTCACTGCTTCGAACCCGGTTGGGTCCTTCTTTATTCAATTATCCAATAATTTTTTTATTGTTATTTTAGGGGTTAAGTGGTGATTTGCTCCCTAAACTTGTACCTACATGCAATATGTTTAATGAAACATAGTCTTTGTCTCTCTTTTTAATTACAAGTTTTTCTGGTTTGTTTTTGTGAAATGGTTGAAAATAAAGAAAAACTAGTGATTGTGCTAATCTTTTCCCCTTTAAAATTTGAAGAATAATAACAAAATTTATATGTATGAGATAAAAAGTGATTAGTGATGGCCCTCCTAGTTGAAGATGAAAAATCTATATGGAAGTGATTTTGAAATTTTGGCCCCTCCACGCTAAGAATCCTAGCTCCGCCACTGCCTACATGCAATATGTTTCATGAAACATAGTCTTTGTCTCTCTTTTTAAGTACATGGTTTTCTGGTTTGTTTTTTTTTAAATGGAAGAAAATAAAGAAAAACTAGTGATTGTGCTTATCTTTTTTCACTTTTGTAATTTGAAGAATAATAATAGGATGCATATGTATGAGATGAAAAGTTGGTGTAATGAGATAAGTAATGTTAATATAAAACTATTATTTATTCGCGGGTCCATAGCTCAGTGGTAGAGCATTTGAGTTGCATGTTTGATTGCAAATCTTAAGGTCACCGGTTCGAACCCGGTTGGGCCCTTCTTTATTCAGTTATCCAGTAATTTTTTTATTTTATTTTAATAGGTTAATTGGTGATTTTCCCCCTGAACTTGTACCTACATGCAATATATTTCATGAAACATAGTCTTTGTCTCTCTTTTCAAGTACAGGTTTTTCTAGTTTGTTTTTGTGAAATGGAAGAAAATAAAGAAGAACCAGTGATTGTGCGGATCTTTTTCAAATTTGAAATTTGAAGAAGAATAATAAAATGCGTATGTATGAGATGAAAAGTTGGTGTAATAAGATAAGTAATTTTAATACAAAACTATTACTCATCCACGGGTCCATAGCTCAGTGGTAGAGCATTTGAGTTGCATGTTTGATTGCAGACGAGTGAAGGGTGGGCGGTGCTGATGTCTGTGAAGAGAGAGAAGCGAGAAAAGAAAAGAGAGAGGGAGACACACTTTGTAGAGAACAAAAGGAAGAAAAAAATATCAAAACCCTAAAGCGTAGGGGAATGGGGCGACGAGAGAATGAGATGGAGGCGGGAGGAGATGCGTCGGGGTTAGGGTTGGTTGGCCTCGGGAGAAGCGTCGGGCAGAGGAGGTGGGGGGAGAAAAAAACATAAGGGAGAGAGAAGAAGAAAAAAACAGGGGAGATAAGGTTTTTATTTTGTGTTATCTTTTATTGGCGAAAATAAAAGGTTCATATCTTTAATTTTCTATACTAAAAAAATGGGAAATTCTATATGAACCCCATTAATTTCTCTTTACACCCCACTAAATTTTAATAAACTTTCAAATTACTCATTATACCCCATTGTTTTTCCTAAATTTCCCTCATGAACCCCATTCTCTAACTCACTGTGTAAACCCCATCCCATATCAGACACCACCCACCGAAAACCCCTTTCCCTTTCAACACACCCCATCTGAAATCAAACCCCACCCCATCTGATATCAAGCCCCACCCCATCAAAAATTCCCTCCTCTTGCAGACATACCCCGTCGTAGAACCCATCTTTTTGCCACGGAACCCCCGTTGCACAACCCAACAAACCCGAACCCATCTCTGCTCACCACTGAACCCATCTCTGCAAACCATCGAACCCCATCGCACCATCGCACAACCCATCTCCATCTCTGCAAACCCGAACCCATCTCTGTCAAGTTTTCACAAATCATCTGAAGAGCCAATGTTTGATTTCTATATTTACGTTTCTAAGTGTTGATTAAGCCTACGTTTGATTTTACTTTTGAAAAGCCAAAGTCTGATTCTGATTTTGATTTTGATTTCAACGTTGTGTATGGTTCGAACCTGGTTTTACGAAACTAGATTCTAGTTTCGGTGGATTACCACCGAAATAGTTAAATTGATTCAGTGGTAGTCCACCGAATTTGAACCTGAGTTGTACGAAAATTTATTTTACTTTCGGTGGGTTACCACCGAAATTGTTACCTTGTTTCGATGGTTGTCCACCGAATCTGTTTCTATTTTCTAGAAGACTCCCACCGAATTTATTTCTGTTTTTCAATGGTACTCTACCGAATATGTGTTCTTTTTTCAGTGATAGTCCACCGAATGTATTTCCTTTTTTCAGTGATCATCTACCGAATACGTTACTAAGTGTGTACTTAATATTGTTTGTTTTTAGATATGAAGAGGACTCGCAGATGTACTACTGAGGCTTCATCATCCTGACCTAATAAACAGCGTCCCACGGCATCAACGAGGAGACAGAGAACGGCTCCTCAAGATCACTTTGAGGATACTACAAAGGTTGAAGATGTAGTTCCTACTCATGACAGTAATGTTGACGCAGAGATTGAAGATGTAGCTGCTACTCAAGATAGTAATGTTGAGGTACATGCCGAGCCTACTAAGCCATCTCGAGTAGGTCCCATTGATCCATCTTTACTTATGAGTTTTAAAACTCACATAGCAGCTGCAATTTGGAATAACCAGGTAAGTCGTTTTGCTGTGACAATAGAAGGTAGAATATAAGTCTGGTTCATGGTAATTAACCTTAATTTTGTTTTTTTGTTTAACTAGGAACGTGAGCCCCTTAGGTGCATGTCGAAAACATCTACCCCTCGTGAGTGGAATTGGTGGGGTAATCCAAAAAATGGTATATTCAAAGGGTACATTCAGAGGTCTGAATTAAAGCAACTTATTAGGTGTTCTTATCGGAATGCTGATAAGATTGTGGTATTAACATTTGTTGAGAGGATGACGGTATCTGTAGTAGCTACATTCTCCATTCCCAGAAGTTGTTGAAAAGCATCCACACGTGCTTAGTACCTCTAGTACAAATGTGTTACATTGCATATGTCACTTTGTTCATGCCACATTCTAGAAACTGGTGGAATAGGATGGTCTGGAGACAAATGAACCTACAAAACAAGAATTCATTCATATACACATAGCATATAAAATTAACCAATGTTGCATAAACAAATAAATTCATACATGGACATAGTGATCATCGTCAACAAAACCAATGGCAATCTCACGTAGCTTGGTTTCGCTTGATTGAACTGAGAAAGGAAGAAATGTAAGGCATTGACGCATGCTTAGAAGGATTAAAACCACATTATAACATGTGGCAATAATATGCCCCATATCAGGCATGGTCATCCAACAAAAGAATGGTGCAAATCCATCATCAAAATAATTTAGCGCTCGCTCAATCTCGTTGTACCGTTTATGTTCCCAAATACACTTCTTAAAAACAGAAGACATATCATGTAGTTGCTGCAACAAATCCTTGTGTACCCTATGCCATTCATTATGACCAAATCTCATTGTCATAGCTATGGTTCTATATCCACAGTTACCATCCGGACGAACTTCAGTCTGGTGAGTGATATATTTCCTAATATCCTCAGGGAATTTCTCTATATGCATATATATATCGAACGCTGATTGGTTTTTGCGAGGCTTATAGAGCTGAAAATAAAACAAAATATTAGTTATATGGTAATAACACATTGTAAAATAAAACATTTGTAGTAGGGGTGGGCATCTTAAACCGAAATACCGAAACCGTACCCTAACCGCACCGTACCGTACCGTACCGATTTCATACCGTTTCATTTGGTACCGATAGATATTCGGTACCGTACCGTACCGTACCAATCGAGTATGGTATGGTAGTGGTATCAAGATTTTGATACCGGTCAATACCGTACCGTACCGAATAGTACTCTATTGAAATATAAATTTTTTTTTTCATTCTCTCGCTCTCTGTCTCTCGCTTGCCTTTCAATTTCTCAAACGCTTTTGTCATTTATGTTTGGATTGTGTTTGTATTTTTGTAAGCCATAAGGCATAAGTTTAACTCTTTTGATTTGTAAGCCATAATACATGAGTTTTAACCATTTGGATTTGATGAATATGTTGATGGATAAATATTGATTTGGTTGATTTGGATATTGAATATGTTGATTAGGATTTGGATATTGAATATGTTAATGGATATTGAATATTGAAAATGTTGATGGATATTGAATATGTTGAATCTTTGAATTTGTAACTTAAGCATCACTTATTTTGGTGTTGAATATTGAATTAGTTCATTTTTTAGTTGTATCATTTTGGTACCGAAATGGTACCGATACCGTACCGATACCGATTTGGCACGGTACGGTACGGTACCAATTTTG